GGTATCTCATTGTGGTTTTAATTTGCATCTCCCTTATTACGAGTGATGTTGAACATTTTTTCATATGCCTGTTGGCCATCTGCATTTCCTCTTTGGAGAAGTGTCTTTTTAGCTCTACTGCCCATTTTTTGATGGGGTTGTTTACTTCATTTTGGCATTTTTAATAAAGGTCTTCAGCTTTTGCTTTTCACGAACTTTTTTTTTTTTTTTTAAGATTTATTTATTTGTGCATACAGAACTGGGGTATAGGCCAGAGGCTCAGGGTGGTGAGAGGCTTCACCAGAGACAGAGTGGGGAACAGAACAGGCAGATCGATGAAGTACACTGCTGAGGGAGCAGCGGGCGGGCCAGGAGAGGTCTGCCACACCATGTGGTTACCTCCAGGCAGGCGGGAATCGAACTCATGCGAAATGGGTTTAGATTCTCAGTGCTGTGCTTTAACCCACTGCACGACTAGGGAGGGCCTCACGAACATGTTTTAAATTAGTCCTCATCTGAACATTGTCTGGGGAGGTGGATAGCTCAATGGGGACATTTGGAGGAAAGATAGAATTTCCTGGGCCCCTTTCTGACAGAAGTTTAGGTTAGTTATAGTTCCTCTGTGCAGGGGTGAGGATACCCACATAGAGTTCTCTCTCAACTGCCAACAGACTTATAGTTTCTTTCTTTTCTCTCCCTCTCATTAAGTCAGTCTGGCAGGAAGGAAGTTCTCTTTCACTGCGGCCATTCAAGGACTTTTTACCTGCTTTGCTGCAGATGAGAAGGGGGAACAGAAAGGGCCCTTTCTAAGAAATCTGTGAGGAACTTGGTTCTTCTGCCTTTTACCTGCTTTGGAACAACAGTCAGTTCTTGTGAGGTAGGAAGCCCTTATCTTGGAGTGAGTAGGGGACAGTACTCCTGCACCAGCACCCCAGGTGTGCCATTTGTCACTCCTGCCTGGCATAGGGGTTCCATGTGCTGCCCTGAGACCATGTGCAGAGTGAGCCTGGCCCCAGCTTTCTGTGAGGAAGCTGGTGGCACAGAGACAAACACCTGTCCTAGGAAGGCGGCAGATAGTCACAGGCTATAGGTCGAGGCTCCAAGCCCTCAGAGCATGGTCCTTCATTTCTTTTATGAGGAGAAGTGGTTAAAGCATGAGGTGAAGTGAGCAGCCCCCACTAGAGTGACATGGCTTTAGTATTGGAACCACAGGGAAGCACCGGGCCAGGAGGACATGGCAGGTCTCCCGCTGCCTGCTCCAATCACACCAGAGCAGGCGATCTATGGAGACAGAATTGACCACCACGTCCAGGCTGGGCATAGCCTTCACTGACAGAGTCTGAGTTCAGAGTTGAAGTGATGAATTATTTCAGGAAGGTGACTGCATTCATGTGGCCTCTCTGGGCAAGCTTTCTCCCACCACTTGTCTCATGCCTGTGCAGCGGCCCAGGCTGTGGAGTAAGAAAGGATGATAACTAAAGATGCATGAGCTCCAGGCACTTCCACTGGGAGAAGATAATATACAAGAAGCTAATATTTTCTTTGGAAGCGATATCAAGTCAACATAGTGCTTGTAAAAGCAGCTTATGAGTAATTGCTATAATTAGGTCTTTTGTACATTGTTACTTTGTAAATGAATAGCTAGTAAGATTTTTTCATTTTCCCTCTTCTCTCCATTCCTCAAAGTTCGACTCAGCAGGAATGTGCGGTCAGGTTGGAGGTCAGGAGACACACTTGCTGGATGATGACCTTCTGGAATCTTCTGTGTGTAAAATTTTCCCAGGGGAAAGAAGCAGCATCAGGCTGGGGTTCTGAAATCCAAAGTTGAAGCAAATTGATTTGATTGGACCAACCGAAGTGGGTCAAAGCTGGAGAGGAAAGAACCTGTGGGATGTGAGGGTGGGGAAGGGGCTGGATGAGCCCAAGGACCCGAACACCTGACAGTGGAAGAGGCCACTGGACTGAGGGGGAAAACTGTTACAGAGGAGAAAGTGAGTTCTTGGAGAAAGAGTAGGAAAAGCTCCTTCCTTCCAGGCTGTATGTGTGAATCAAGGCTCTTCAGGCACCTGCCTGGCACTCTGGCTGCTGAGCCCTGAGGTGAAGTCAGCCCATGGGACCTCCCTCATTGAGTGTAAATGGAGCACTTCTGGTCACATTGCATGCAAAAGCTCTCATGAGGTAATGGCAGGGAAATTTTCAGCAATTGTTTTTTTCTTTACCAAATACAGAAACATTTGTAAGTCACTCAATTTCTTCAGCCAGGCAAGGGACAGTGACCCATATCCAGTGTCCGCAGGGGCAGCTGGGGCCAGTTTAGATGTGGTGGTCACTTCTGTCTCCATAGATCGCCTGCTCTGGTGTGACTGGAGCAGGCTGTGGGAGACCTGCCATATCCTCCTGGCCCGGCTGCTTCTCTGTGGTTCCAAGACTTAAGCCATGTCACTCTAGTGGGGACTGCTCGGCAGTCACTTCACCTCAAGCTTTAACTGCTTGTCTTCATGAAACAAGAGCCCACAATACAGATCGGTGTTATCAGGCAGTTGAAATATAAACAGCTGAAATGGTTACAGCAGCCAGAGGGGTGGAAGGCAGCTTGCTGCTGTATAGCACAGAGCAGACCAATCGCACTTAATATCCAGCTTCTCCTGTAAATATTTGCAAATGCCCCCTCAGAGCTCACAAGTCCAGGACAGCCTCATTGCTTAGAAGAAGAGACAAGATTGACCTCATGGTTCAAAGCAGCCATAAAAAGAAAGTGTGTGTACATGTGGCAGAAGCCCAGAAAGGGGAGAAAGTCCCAAGTTTAATAAACACAAAAGGGAATAAAATAAATCTCAAGAGCACTTATTTACAAACTTGATGGAAGGATAAGATTGGGGCGGGTGGGTGTGAACGATGGGTGTTTGTGGACATGGAATAAGCCAGTGTGGGTTCCACACTACTGGATGGGGAAATGAAAGAGATGTTTACTGTTGCTGGTTTCAGGAAGCCCTCTGACTTAGCTTTCTCTTTCAAAGCAAGTTGGAAGCTTCTGCTGTTTATAGGAAGGCCATGCATAGGGGCATCCAGCTTCCGGCCTATGGAAGGTTCCAGCTGAACAGAGGTTATGTGAAGTTGAGAGTCTGGCCACAGCCCTGCCCAGTCTTCTCCATCTGCATATCCAGCACGCTGTCAGCTGAACTGGTCAGGGTCTGTCAACTTGTCCACTCACCTGGGACAAGCAAGTTTTAGGAGAAAGAGATCAGGATCGATTTCTTTTCATCAAATACATTTCTATGCTGCGGAGCTCCCCAAACCTTTCCACTGGTACAAATGTTTACTCTCCTGAAAACTGACCTTCAACAGTTTTGAGATGACAGTACAGGGTGCCTGGCTCTTTTTTTTTTTCCCCCTCAAAATCTGGATGCTTTAGGTTTTGGGGGAGTTCTGTTTGTTTCTGAGAGTTTTTGCTTACAGTCTATGAAGTCTCCATTCACGGTCATTTTAAGAGGGAGCCATGGAACAGAGAGGATGGTTTGGAATTCATCTTCCCCTGCAGATGCCCCCTGAGCCCCATATGGACGGTGTGGGAGTAGGTGGGGAAAATCTCCCAAGAGAAAAGAAGTGCAGAGCTCTTAAGGTGAGGAAAAGTCAGTGATTCCTAGCATTTTTTTCCCGCAGTGGAATTATCAGGGGATGAATTTCCCAAGAACTCACAAAAGGTATTTCTTTCTATTTTAAGATTGACAGGATGGGCTCATTTATTTAGTAAGCTAGTCTTGCCTCTTGAGATTCCTGGGGATGACCATTGACTCATATAGTGACTTTGGGGTGCAAAGCCCTATCCTGGGTGGTGGAAAACATGAAATAGCAGGCCAATTTAGTCTCTGTCCATGAGATTCTTGATATTTTCTAGCAGTGATGATGAGTGTGGGCAGGGGTTGGGGAAAGCAAAAAAATAAAGCTAGTGCAGAAGTAATAGAAATCACTAACTGGGAATGACTATGCTGTCACACATAATCGAACGAAGGAAAGGGAAGAGGAGTTGAAGCAACAGAGATGGATGGGACATTAGGAAAGTAAATTTGCAGGAGATTTTGGGTGTGAATTGTGGACAAATAGCTCAGTGACTTGGTGTTTTATGTAAGTATGGCGTGAGAATAGGAACCTGTTTCATTCCAATGCAGCCTCAGTTGCACATTCAAAGACAATGACAGGTTACTAAAAATAACAGCAAAACTCCAGCAAGGACTGTTGTGCCATTGTTGGTGCTGTCTGCATCTCTGTATTCCACACGATTCAGGACAGAGAACATCGGGCTGGCCTGTTCTCTTCATTACTTAGCATTGCCTTGAGCATTTATTCAGAATAAAGAATTTAAGATTGACCTGGTTTAGCCAGTATGTGGATATGGTAGTTTTGTTTTTAAATCCAAATTTCCGCAGCCTAGCTTAGCTAGGGTGTATTTGGTCACATTGTTGTAAAAAAAAAAAAAAGAAACCAAGATATTGAAGCCAAAAAGGATGCAATATGTGAACCTGAACAGCATAAAGTATCTGGACGCCAACATTTCAAGGAAAAAAATACATGGGCAAACTGCTTGCCATTATGAGCTATTTTCTTGGCACATCTGATTAAAGTGTATATAAGCCCGACAGCGTTCTCCGGGCGTCAACTGTCATGAACTTGTTCCAATTCATAACCATCTAGGATTTTCCACCACTCTGTCAACTTTCAAAGGATAGGGTTAACTGCATGTCCTCCGCGGGTTTGGAAGTGGTTTGTTAATCTCTGTTAATCTGCTGCTCCTATAACCAAACACACATGTTTATTTTTCTTTTCTGGTTAAATTGTTAATGGTATTAAATTGGCCATTGGAAACAAATCGTTCTGTAGATGTTTCCCTTATGGTTTCCTGAGCCTATCTCCTGCTGCGCGGTCTTTTTTGAGAACACAATGGATTTGATCATTCTCAATGATTGCCCTAACTTTTTACAGATGCCATCCCGCCCACTTTCTATAGACCCTACTTCAGAATTGTCCGATTTGACGTCTCAGCGATGGAGAAGAATGCTTCCAATTTGGTGAAAGCAGAATTCAGAGTCTTCCGTTTACAAAACCCAAAGGCCAGGGTGCCTGAACAACGGATCGAACTGTATCAGGTAACTTCTGCTTGGGTTGTTTTAATGGAAAATCAGTTTAAGTCTTTTTGCTGTCCTAGAATTTCCAAGCTGATATTAACCATTGTCTACACTCAATCAGGACCCTCTATTATTACTCTCACACTGAGAGCTCACTAGTCCATTACTCAGGAGGGAAGACCCTTTTAAACAAAGTGAGGAAGCTCTGGGCTTGTGTCTTCAATAGCGTGAATGATCTCCCACTTTGGGGAGATCATCTTCTAACCTGGACAGTTAGATAATGTAGGACTGACTCCAGCCTAAGAGTTGAGAGAGGGCACAGCTGGCCTGCCTTTTCTCTTCTCTCATCTTTCCATTATCTTCTCTGTCTTTTTTCAATAGCTACCCCTTGCTGTTCTCCTTTCAATTACTCCTGTCTCTTTACTAACTTCATCTTACCGTTTCCCCTTCTGATTCTCCCCACTCTCTCCAACCTCCTTTACTTTGGTAGTCTTGACTTCTCATTTCCCTAAGTACAGTTTGCTGGGTCTCTGTGTGAAAAAATGATGGTGGCCTAGGGTAATAGTGAGGGTGATGGTGGTGGCCAAGTTACTGATATTTCAGAGGTGTTCTGAAAGGCTTACTACTCAGGTAGAATTTAAAGGGCAGTTGTATCAGCATCACCCAGGAGTTGTGAGCATCTCAGGTCCTATGCTTGACTTACCAAATCAGAACCCACTTTTTTGACAAGCTCTCCAGGTGATTTTATGCCCTTGAAAGCTGCTTTAAAAGTCCTGTGTCTGATGAGGGAGGCTGGCCTCCCTCTTGAGTGTGTCACATTGTCTTAGAATTGGATTTTTCCAGAGGGCAGAATTGGATTTTTCCAGTGAGCAGACACTTGAGCAGGACTCTCAGGATTGTCTACAAAGATGTAAGGCGGCAGAAGGAGTGGCCAGTTCAAAGGCAGGTCTTCTGGAGATATCAGGTAGATGGTCTTAATCCACGGAGGTGAGGAGATAGACAAAAAGCTGCCTTCTAGGGAATGTGAAGAGTAAGATAAAGAGGGTCAAGAACTGAGGCCCTCCACGCAAGGGGTAGGCATGTCTGAAAATATGACTTTGCCTTGAGGGAAAGAAATTGACATTTGTATGTGGAAACTTCCAGTTGTTCTGAATTCTAAACATTTGGAATTTTTGATAATTTGGACAATAATTTTGTTTGTATTAATTATGAAAATACAGTCCTCATCATGTAAGGAGAAACCACAACACTTGCCATTGAAGTTACCTTTGCCTTGAAAGGGAACTCTCTCCTCTGCAGAACTTCAGTGAATTAGAGTCAAGTCAAGTCTGTCCTGTTTTCTTTGACCTGTTTCCTTAACAGTTGGATGTTAATGTCCTCTTGAATTCATATTTAGTCAGTAATTCTTTTGCCCAATGTGATGAAATCTCACTTTTAGAGACCAGTTGGTGTACTTAACAGTGACTGAACCCTATATCATTAAAATCCATTTACTTTTGGCTTCAAGCTGCAGAATACATATTAAATGAATTTTCAGTTTTGAGGATGAGAGGATAAATGGATGTTTGTGGAGCAAAATAAGTAAAAGACTTTTGTGCAGGAGCAGAGAATCAGTAGCCACTTTAGTGAACTTATTTTTATCTATTTAATCTCAGCATTTATATATAAATATACATACATATGTGTGTGTATGTGTGTGTGTATAATCTCTGCAAAAGACTTCAAACAAGAGCTCCCCTAAGACTTTACAGTGTAAATTTGAGGTGGATGGGGTAGGGCTTTTTTTTTGGAACGGTGTCTAATGCAGCAAATTGAAGACAAGATTCCTATCAATGTGGGACTGCAGCATAATGGGGTCAATGAAGATTACTCTTTTTTCCTAATCCCAACCACATGCATGTGCATGTGTGCACACACACACAAGCACACACTCAGTTCAGCTTTCATTTTGCATATTGCCCAAGGGTGTGTAAAATAAAAAGAGGTCAGCCAAAGAAACTGTCTGTTAAATTAGACTTGCAAAAAGTGCGACTGAAAAAAATAGTTCTACTGTGCTCCGTTGTGCAGAGCTTTACAGCATACAATCCTCTTAGTACTGATCCTGGCTCTGGCGCCGTGTTGGAGACACATACAGTATAGTAACTCGCTTAAAAAAAAAATCCATGAGGTATAATAAGCACTGTGTTTGCACAAGGCTATTAATAATCTTGGGTTTTCCCAAACTGATTGGCTTGCCTGCTTGTAAGTTAATGGAATCTTTATCATTTGCATTAGGTTGTGATGTTACCCAGAGTCTGTTAACCTTATGAGCAGACAAAACTCCCCTTCACAAACAACAAACACAACAACAAAACAACCAAAAACCCAAACCCACTGTTTTCAGAGACACGTGATCATCGTGAATGATAACCGATAACTCTGTGTTCCTGTTGTGTAATGTGACTTAGCAGTGATGTCGATAATTACCAGAGCACTTGCTGTGTGCGAGGTCCCACTGTAAGTTCTTCATAGAGATTGATTCATTCAATCCTTATAGCAATAACCTTATGAGGTAGCTACTGTTATTTTCTTCATTTGACAGTTGAGGAAACTGAGCGCAGTGAAGTTTAGGGACTTGCCCAGACCAAGCAGCTACAAGCGAAGCAGGTCAGGATTCACCCACAGCTGGCACCAGACCATGCGAACTTCCTAGTGGAAAAGAACAGAGATTTTAGAGGTGGGCCAAGAGAAGCTCAGGGTATGGCTTCACCCTGTCAGGGACTCTGAGGAAATCAGACCATTCCATATCAGTATTTGGCAAGGAGTTGTTATTTGCAGACACAGAGAGAAGGCCTGGCGCTCGTAACACACCTCTGTCTTCTCCATGATTACTACTGTTTCTATCATCGCAGATCTGAAGTCCATTGAGCATGGACTTTTGCAAGAAAGTGTGTGTGACCTTTATGACAGCTCAAAAACTGTGAAAAATGGCAGCTCATCCTAACCCTTGTTGCAGTAAGGTCTGGCTTTTCAGCCACTGTCCCTGGAGTTTGCCTCTGGCCTTCTTCAATCATATTTTCACCCCTTATGGGTGTGCTGGCTGGTGAGCAGCTAGAGGAGTAAAGAAGAGGAAGTTTGTAGCTTTGTAGCCTGGGTTCAACTGCCACTTATAATTTTAATATCATAGTTTATTTTTACATCATTTTGTGCCTTTTTCCATCTCAGTTGTAATCCCCGTGGGCTTCCCATCACCAAATCACCCGTGTGTCATCACCGAAGTCCAGTATACTTCCCCTGCCCCCACTTTTTATCCCATTCCCCACTCCACCCCCTTAAAATGTCTCTGGCATATAGTTATTAATTATTATTCCCCCCCCCCCCGGTCCACTATGCTCCTGCTATGAATGAAACTATCTAGCATTTTTCTTTTTCTTTCTGGCTTGTTTCACTAAGCATGATCCCTTCCATCAGCTGCCACTTTTAATTGATTATTTTTCTTTCTTTTTTCTTTTTTTTAAAAAAGATTTATTTATTTGTGCATACAGAACCGGGGTACAGGCCAGAGGCTCAGAGGCGGGGAGAGGCTTCACCAGAGACAGAGTGGGGAGCAGAACAGGCAGATCGACGAAGTACACTGCTGAGGGGAGCAGCAGGCGGGTCAGGAGAGGTCTGCCGCGCCATGCGGTCACCTCCGGGGCAGGCGGGAATCGAACTCATGCGGAAGTGGCTTTAGCTTCTCAGTGCTGTGCTTTAACCCGCTGCGCCACCAGAGAGGGCCACTTTTTTTTTTTTTCATAGAAGAACTGGGGTGTAATCAGAAGGGCAAGAGGTGAGAACATTCACCAGACACAAAGTGGGGAGCAGAATAGGCAGATTGACTGAAATACACTGTGGAGGGGAACAGCCATAGCAGTGATAGTACTGAGATTTAACCCCTAGGCCACCAGGGAGGCCCGATTAGTTTTCAGTTCTTTCAATTCCTAATCTCTCTGAACCACCACTTGCTGTCATAAAACAGAGACAACTGTTCTTGTCTAGTCAGTGAGAATGAGGGGGCATTCAGAGAAAGTGGCCCATTGGTGCTTGAGGAGTGGATTGTTATCAAGGATTTGCTGGTTCCCTAGAGCAGGGTATGTATAGTCCCTAATGTTGGCTTGTGATCTTAAAATTGCTAGTGACACTGCCGGTCATCTTGCTGTGTTAAGTCAACTCTTGTTGGGTGAACAGCAGGAGAGTTGTAGAGACCAGGCAGGGTAATGAGAACCAAACAGGGTTATGGGGATCAGATGTGGTATTAGAGCTCAGTGGATTTTATTTTTCCAGTATGCTAAGGGCAGTTCTGGTGGGCTGGGGGTGGGATGCTTCTTGCTTTTCTTCTTGATGACTATAGAGTGACTGATCCCAGCGGGGGTGTCTTTAACCTGGTCCTCTGCCTACTTCACCACCACACAGACGTGGTCTTTGGTTCCCCCATAAATTTTAACAAGATTCCACCTTAATACTACACAATGCAAGTATATGGCAACTTTTCTATAACCTCCACTGGATACATATTTTTACAGAAGAGCGCATATGTTTATTTCTTGATAGTGATGGGGATCAGGATAATTTTTGGAACTTCTGTTCTAGAACTATCTTCAGAGTCTCCAAATCCACAACAGAGAATTCTTTACTGGGAATGAAACTGGATTAAGGGAAAGTTATCTTGACTCTGGAAAACCACCAAAATTCTAGTGAGGATGAAAATGATAAGAAATTAAGGTGCTTTCCTTCTGTGACAATGGGTTTTAGATGACAGGTCTGAAATCTCACTTCTGACATGCCTGTTGCAACTCCCTGGCCTGAGGGCTTCTTGTGTCTTGCTTGGGTTACTGCAGTGGCCTTGAGACTTGTCTCTGCTCTGCTCCACCCTAGACTGTCTGTGTGCAATGTGCAGGTCAAATCAAAGTCTCCTATTCAAAGCCCTGCAGTGCTTCTTATGTCTTAGGAACAGGAGTCAGGGGCATATATGCCTATGAGGCCTGTTACTCACTTCCCCAACC